ATCTATTAGGATTTCACAAAAGATTCGAATTCATTATAACTCCAGATGATATTGCTAGTCCCGATCTACTATTTCTATAAAACTTCTCATTCATCACATACTCCAGTTTCCACATATGACGCGATTCTCACTAGTCATTTAACTGTGTGACAGCTCTCTAATACTAACAGATTTATAGAATATGAATTCAAAATACTATGCTTGTAATACATATTAGGAGTAGACTTGGAATAGCTAAAAACTTCTAGAAGATAGCTTTGATATACCTTTAGAGTGCGGTGAAGTACAGAATTTCCATTTTTTCCTCCTTAGTAGAACGTTATTAGAAGAAAAATGTATTGAGACTGAATGCTTTTAGAGTGTCTTTCTCTATACTTAGTGAGATTACTGTATAAATATTACTCAGAATAACCTTTAGTGTATTTTATCGATACCGCTGCACTGATAAAAAATATATCAACGCATTTCGTTGACATTGCTTGATATTTTATTACCTCGGACGTCCATTACAAGAGATAGGTATGGGTCAACTGAACATTCACACTCACACTCTGATAAATGCCTTCGGAACCGATGTATCCTAAGTAAATAGTAATGCACGAAAATCATTACCATAACTCCGTTATAGTTTACTCAGGACAAGTACAAGAACAACAATGGACTTCATAGTTTACTGTATGTCAGAAAAATCTGAATGAATACGAATAAAAGGATATTGTCATAATCAAAATCTTCAAAAATTTTATCACTACAATGAGAGACGTCAATAACAGTCTTTACGATTTACTTACAGCCTTGACTTATTGAAGTTACTCATTCTGTGAGTGCTCTTTGCCATTCCTATTTGCTCATCATATGCTGCATCTGATAAGAAAGTCAATAAATGCATCTCAAGCACTTTCAAGCGCAAAGAAAAGTACATAAATACACAACTTCTACAGCTCATAAAGCGATACTACGTATCTACATTACTTCAATTTCAGAAATATTCTATGATACGTTTTATACATAACTGCAGT